ACACGCGACAGCTGTGTGATAAACCCTCCATATACTTGAAATAACAAGACCTATATTATCATCTGTACATATAGAATGGATTATTTATAATTGATTGGGTGCAGCTTCAGATCTTTAACACTTTAGTAAATTACATCCTGAGTTTTAATTGTGAGTCGAAATGCACGAGAACAATGAATGTAGAACTACATGTGACTTGTTTGGTTGAACACTATTAAGGGAGTAAATTAACAGTAACTTTATCAACGGTGTTGTTACCCTAACTAGTGTTGCCGGTATCCACTAAACGCTAATGTAACATGTGTTCTAATTGCACCGAAAACAAGTGCAAAGCGATCAATTTTGAAATAATCCAGGAAGTTTGGCGATCACATAGTTATGTACATAGCAACAGGATAGATGTTTTATAAGAAAGGTAACAATTAGCGGGGACCATGTCCGTAGTTATAAGAAAGGTAACAATTAGCAGAGACCATGTCTATAGTTATAAGAAAGGTAACAATTAGCGGGGATCATGTCTCTAGTTATAAGAAAGGTAACAATTAGCAGGGATCATGTCTCTAGTTATAAGAAAGGTAACAATTAGCAGGGATCATGTCTCTAGTTATAAGAAAGGTAACAATTAGCAGGGACCATGTCTCTAGTTATAAGAAAGGTAACAATTAGCAGAGACCATGTCTGTAGTTATAAGAAAGGTAACAATTAGCAGGGACCATGTCTGTAGTTATAAGAAAGGTAACAATTAGCGGGGATCATGTCTCTAGTTATAAGAAAGGTAACAATTAGCAGAGACCATGTCTGTAGTTATAAGAAAGGTAACAATTAGCAGGGACCATGTCTGTAGTTATAAGAAAGGTAACAATTAGCAGAGACCATGTCCGTAGTTATAAGAAAGGTAACAATTAGCAGAGACCATGTCCGTAGTTATAAGAAAGGTAACAATTAGCAGGGACCATGTCTGTAGTTATAAGAAAGGTAACAATTAGCAGGGACCATGTCTGTATTTATAAGAAAGGTAACAATTAGCAGAGACCATGTCCGTAGTTATAAAAAAGGTAACAATTAGCGGGGATCATGTCTCTAGTTATAAGAAAGGTAACAATTAGCAGGGACCATGTCTGTAGTTATAAGAAAGGTAACAATTAGCAGGGACCATGTCTCTAGTTATAAAAAAGGTAACAATTAGCGGGGATCATGTCTCTAGTTATAAGAAAGGTAACAATTAGCAGGGATCATGTCTCTAGTTATAAGAAAGGTAACAATTAGCAGGGACCATGTCTCTAGTTATAAGAAAGGTAACAATTAGCAGAGACCATGTCTGTAGTTATAAGAAAGGTAACAATTAGCGGGGACCATGTCTGTAGTTATAAGAAAGGTAACAATTAGCGGGGATCATGTCTCTAGTTATAAGAAAGGTAACAATTAGCAGAGACCATGTCTGTAGTTATAAGAAAGGTAACAATTAGCAGGGACCATGTCTGTAGTTATAAGAAAGGTAACAATTAGCGGGGATCATGTCTCTAGTTATAAGAAAGGTAACAATTAGCAGAGACCATGTCTGTAGTTATAAGAAAGGTAACAATTAGCAGAGACCATGTCCGTAGTTATAAGAAAGGTAACAATTAGCGGGGACCATGTCTCTAGTTATAAGAAAGGTAACAATTAGCAGGGACCATGTCTGTATTTATAAGAAAGGTAACAATTAGCAGGGATCATGTCTGTAGTTATAAGAAAGGTAACAATTAGCAACATCAAAGACCTTGATCTACTGAAGCAACTTTAGAGAAAACAACAACAAGGACCTTGATTTAATGAAGCAACTTAAGAGAAAACAACATATACGTTGGTCTACAGAAACCACTTAAGAGAAAGCAACATAAACAACAGAATGCATGTCTGTATCTTATTAATTCAACATAGGTTGCTACCAAAGGTGGTCAGAATACATTCCATATTAAAGGAAAATGAACACGAGATAAGTTTAACATGAGTAGAACTCTTAAATATGGTCAGGTTTTCGGTTTAACTGTGCATTATAGGCCTGGCCAGAATTCTTCAAAATCCCCAACAAAAGCTGGAAGTTATATCAAGGATTAAATACGAAGAGAAAACATTATATTCAACCGAAGAGGAAAGGTGTTTTATTTCGCGGCGATAAAAGAAATTAATAACTAATTTATAATGATATATAATATATATATTTGTATAAATTATTTATAAAAGACATTATGAAACATTTCCAAATTTCCAGATTTATCGTTAATGTCTAAATAATTTGATAAATTCTACTTGTTTATCTAACATAAGATATTTTTGAAAATTCGGACATCCAACATTCAAGCGACCGGAACTTGATGGTTAAGAAGAGGGACAATTTATGCTGTCTAGCCTTAGTTTGAGTGGAACAACCGTTGTTTCTGAAGTTATTGTTGGTATGTAAACAATCCATAGCCCTGGCCGCTTTCCTCTTAAAAAATGATTAGCCACTTCACCACATGATCCAATTATGTTAAACATCCATATAAAAACACCAGAACATATTCATTCCTAGAAATGGAAAAAAACACGATCAGACACTGTTAACCTCATCAACCATTAAATAAACCAATGATGTTAGGGCGAAACCGGCGGCTTAAATTCCTGGCGTTCAGTAAAAACTGGACTGTCTACAAAATATGCGCAAGACTTAGAATTTGTACGACTAATCCTTATCATTCAAATACAATGATATGGTCCAACCGAATCGTGATACAACTAGACCATATTTGATATTGATTATTGTACAATAGTCATTAAGGAAGACATATATACAGGCCCTTACTGAAAACAGGCAGGAGAACTAGTCACAGGTCTCCATAATTTGCCGCGAAACCAAGTCCGTCAATGAATAGTTGTGCGAAGCTTTGGGCGTCAAAATGTAAAATTTCTAAACTAGACCTTGCTTATGGTATATCTAACAATAACAGTTTCCTGTAGGGCTAGCGGTACCAGTGACAAGACCAGTTGTTAGGATAGTCAGTGTCCAACTCATTTAGAGATCTGACGGCACAAGAGATGTGAATTTGTTCTATCTAATGTTTCTGGAGTAACCGACTTATCCCGCGATTGATCGAGAGGATTGAACAGTACACACAACGCGTCAGGTCCCACAACTTGTCCAGCTACAGGCCGAGAGGTCTGAACAATACCGGTCACACAACGCGCCAGGTCCCAGAACTTGTACAGCTATAGGCCGAGAGGTCTGAACAATACCGGTCACACAACGCGTCAGGTCACACAACTTGTCCAGCTATAGACAGAGAGGTCTGATAAATACGGGTCACACAACGCGCCAGGTCACACAACTTGTCCAGCTACAGGCCGAGAGGTCTGAACAATATCGGTCACACAACGCGCCAGGTCACACAACTTGTCCAGCTATAGACAGAGAGGTCTGATAAATACCGGTCACACAACGCGCCAGGTCACACAACTTGTACAGAGAGGCCGGGTCACACAACGCGCCAGGTCACACAACTTGTCCAGCTACAGGCCGAGAGGTCTGAACAATACCGGTCACACAACGCGCCAGGTCACACAACTTGTCCAGCTATAGACAGAGAGGTCTGATAAATACGGGTCACACAACGCGCCAGGTCACACAACTTGTCCAGCTACAGGCCGAGAGGTCTGAACAATACCGGTCACACAACGCGCCAGGTCACACAACTTGTCCAGCTATAGACAGAGAGGTTTGATAAATACGGGTCACACAACGCGCCAGGTCACACAACTTGTCCAGCTACAGGCCGAGAGGATTGAACAATACCGGTCACACAACGCGTCAGGTCACACAACTTGTCCAGCTATATGCCGAGAGGATTGAACAATACCGGTCACACAACGCGTCAAGTAGGAAGGCTACAGGCCGAACAACTCATCAAAACTACTGCCCAATTTGTCGGTCGTATATTAAAGTTATTTCTATACCTTAAAAGACAAATATGCACAGCGTATCTGGAAGCATATTTATCAGGCAGTGACCGAGAAACACATAGTTTCATACACTGACAGGCTAGAATTATCCTTGCTTGTAACATCGTTTTGTATACGTAATGATATGGCTGAGTAAATCCTTGTTACACACAACTAGCTTAATCAATATCCATATTTTCCACCACTCCAATGAGTTTGTCAGGTTTATAACCTAAGCGTTTCCTATGGTGTTGTTAGTTCTGACCATCATTTGTATTTAGCATATAGGCGATCATTCATGGTCGTTTTACTAAACTAGAATCTGATTAAACTAACACTGATTTTTTATATTTTCTCTAAAAGTAGTCCATAAAACTTGGTTACTGAAGGCATTGGATCAAGATCATTGCGCTGCCCAACGTTTAATGTGATGTTTGTCAAAATTGATTTAAATTTGAAATGGATTTATGGCTGTGAGGCCCATCTGTGCCTTATGACTAATGACAATTTGTCCTACATGTTAAGATTGAGGCGGTGACCGACATCATTTCGAAGTTTTACGTCTATTTTGGAAGATTGAAATTAAGATACCTTCATAGAAAAGACACCTCCGAGTAATTAGTAGTAGAAATCCTATTTTAGAGGACGCCACAGATTCCAAGAAGATTGAATCAGGAATTTCCAAAGTAATAATTGTTTTCTAAAGTAAAAACTTCTAATAAGAATTATAATTACATATTCACCAGTAACAATTTATGTAAATTTTATGTCAGTTTCTACACATCTATACCATCCTTTATCACAGTTCAAACAGTCACACCATCCTTTATCACAGTTCACACAGTCACACCATCCTTTATCACACTTCACACTGTCACACCATCCTTTATCACAGTTCACACTGTCACACCATCCTTTATCACAGTTCACACTGTCACACCATCCTTTATCACAGTTCACACTGTCACACCATCCTTTATCACAGTTCACACTGTCACACCATCCTTTATCACAGTTCACACAGTCATACCATCCTTTATCACAGTTCACACTGTCACACCATCCATTATCACGGTCCACACTGTCACACACCATCCTTTATCACAGTCCACACAGTCCACCATTATCCTTTTATCACAGTTCACACTGTCACACCATCCTTTATCACAGTTCACACTGTCACACCATCCTTTATCACAGTTCACACAGTCACACCATCCATTATCACAGTCCACACTGTCACACCATCCTTTATCACAGTTCACACTGTCACACCATCCTTTATCACAGTTCACACTGTCACACCATCCTTTATCACAGTTCACACTGTCACACCATCCTTTATCACAGTTCACACTGTCACACCATCCTTTATCACAGTTCACACTGTCACACCATCCTTTATCACAGTTCACACTGTCACACCATCCATTATCACAGTTCACACTGTCACACCATCCTTTATCACAGTTCACACAGTCACACCATCCTTTATCACAGTTCACACTGTCACACCATCCTTTATCACAGTTCACACAGTCATACCATCCTTTATCACAGTTCACACTGTCACACCATCCATTATCACAGTCCACACTGTCACACACCATCCTTTATCACAGTTCACACTGTCACACCATCCATTATCACAGTCCACACTGTCACACACCATCCTTTATCACAGTTCACACTGTCACACCATCCATTATCACAGTCCACACTGTCACACACCATCCTGCCACCATTATCCTTTTATCACAGTTCACACTGTCACACCATCCTTTATCACAGTTCACACAGTCACACCATCCTTTATCACAGTCCACACAGTCCACCATTATCCTTTTATCACAGTCCACACAGTCACACCATCCTTTATCACAGTCCACACAGTCCACCATTATCCTTTATCACAGTCCACACAGTCCACCATTATCCTTTATCACAGTCCACACAGTCCACCATTATCCTTTATCACAGTCCACACAGTCCACCATTATCCTTTTATCACATATCCTTCAGGAATGCTGAGATTTATAAAATTTTCTTGTTGACGACGGGGAAATTTGAATTCTAAGTGATTACCTCGCTGACAATCATGTTCAGTAATCTAACCACATTTCTCACTTTATGCCATTATAGAATTGTATCAGGTGAAATCTTATAAGTACTTTTTTGTACGTTTCTCTGAGATTCTGATTCATAGGCAATATGAATGCCAAGTAAATAGGGAAATTGTATATACAGCACAAGTACTTGATTGTTGTATTATGTCATGTTTTACTTTCCTCAGGGGATTGCTGATATTGATATGTTTGGACAAAATTTTTGTGTAAGTGTTAAACTGCTTTATTAAACCAGATGTTTATGTACGGTTTATTGGATGTTGTGGTGTGCTAATATAGCTGTAGTGCAACTGGAACAGTAAATATTTGGAAAATTTGCACATTTTCATATAATGTCTCATCTTCTGAAACGGTCTCGGTCCCTGAGTTTTGATCAGCAATCAAGTTATGTGACGTAAGATTTTACAGACACAGGGTTTTCTCATGTCTTTGTTACTCAGCAGGCTTTGTCCTTCCATCAACATACCAAGCACTTTTAGTTCGGCCTTGTCGTTCCGTTTCCGGTTAAACGCATGTCAAGTCATGGACGAAAACGTTTCGTGTTCTTACAGACAAAGTGTTTCCTCTCGACAAAATCAATTATCTTCGATGGGAAGAAATGACATGGATTAAAGAAAGGGCTACATATATCAGTAATTGGTTAAACATCGCCCAGCTGGGCATCTCTGGCGTGCAGAGGAAATCCTGAATTCGAGAACGGAACGGAACCGATCAGAGCAAAATTACACTTTTCATTTCCACCCTAACTCTGTCTTTCATTTAAAATCTAATCTTGTTTGACTAAATACGAAAAGATGTAGAATTAGTGAGAACAAAGGGGTTTCTTTAGCGTTTTTTAGATTAAACTATTAAATAAATCCCCAAACACGGTCTCGGCTGTAGACGTAATCACTCAAATCTGTTTTGTTTACTAAATTAATTAGCTTTACATTTATTCCAATCCATGTACGATCTTTCGTTTTCACTTACAGTTCTGACAACCAAAATCTCCTATCTAATATAATCAGAATTGATGCATACTTTCTTCGGAATAAAAATCAGATGGTTTCTTGTTATGTTATAATTTGTGAGAAGAGATTTCTTTTAATAAACAGCCAAACTCGTTTCTTCGCTGTAATTGTGGTAAACGCTGGCTTATCTAATGAGGCAGAGAAATAATTTTCTCTGAAAAGATCGGCCATTACGTGAGTATGGTGTACCGTAAATAACATTGTCCTAATCAGGTAGGCGTGTTTGGCATGAATCGACTTCCCTGTTTCTTTTGAATTTAGAAACTCCATCTATTTCCCCACTTACCTGTGTTATAATAAATGGGAGCCGATAATTCCTTACCTAGTAACAGTACAACTCCCCCCTCCTTCCTCCCGCAAGCTCTCAGCTTGGAGTACGCTCGACGCTATCTTATATGTCAATACGTTTCTATGTTATTCCATCATTTCCATATTTTCATACTTAATTGGACAATTAGTTGTCCGGGTTCAGTAAAAACAATGGCGATGATTAACAGTTTGGTTACATAAATCAGTAGACATTTGACTCCGTATTATTGCGACGAAGGCAGTCTGTGATACAGCTGTATATACCAGTAATACACCTGTATGTTCACCTCTGATACACCTTTATATCTAATTTTATTTAATTGTCATACATATTTAAGTTAATTACTCCTAAACAATACACGCGTCAATACAACTGATTACAATGTACAATACAAGTAGGAATCACCATAAAGAGAGATTTTTTACACAAAATATGCTACGTTGTGTAGGAAAGTTCCATCCACTCTCTTCAAAACATGAACTTCTCCCTTAACATTAGTAAGTTACTATGAGCCATATTACAGTGTTTAATCTGACACGTGAACAATTAAAAATTGGAAGTAATTATGTACAACAGCAATAAGAACAGGAGAGTCAACGTTATCTGGATTAAGAAAACGATTGGCTAAGTTATAACACTATTACTTACAACAGACAGTTGTCATAATTATCTACATCATAACAGTTTTCATCCTTTTTCAATACAAAAACTATTACAGTTGTAATCAGTACGTACACCAAGGCATTATATCTAATAACTTCCTTAATTCAACGGAATAAATATGAAACCAAATTCTTTTATAAGTTTGGTTTGCTAAGACTTCACTTTTATGTTTTCAGGATGTCAAAACAGATACATAGATAAGTGAAAACGTTTTCTGTGAAAGTCGTTCAAAATAACAAACCTGGTCATTTGATGAGCTACATGAGACTTTATGCTTCCGTTTTTGAAACATTTTAAAGGTATCAGAATCTTTATAAACTTAAACAATAAATAAATAAAAAAAGATTTAACGAATAACGTAGGGATTTACCAATGTATCCCATTTCTTATTGCCGTGAAAGAATATCTGTCGATGGTTTGTAGGGCGATACTCAGAGACAAGTGAAAACCTACAAACTCACGCGTAGCTCTCGCGCACTAATAAGATTACGATTTTACGTACAAGTAAAATCATTTTTGATGTGACTTTCCTATTATCCGCAATAAACCATAACATAGATTCCTGGATGAAGCCCTACAACACACAGAAACAGTTAGCTGGACCATCGGCTGGCAGCTTAAACACTCTCGTAGGCAAGCTACCAACATTAGGAAAATCTTTCTACCGAATTGTAGTCCTAGTTCTTCAAATTAGACAAAACGGATATGTTTCTTCATTGTCAGGAATGCCAAATTGTGTTTTGTAATTAAATATCCTGTTACAAGCAGTGTCCTTTAACCACGTGACTTCGTATTAATGGAACAGGATTTTTTATTCAAATGAGCATTAAATGAAAATGTGTACTTTAATGCAGGAAGTAATGAAATTCTTTAACTTAATTTTTCGGTTTCTGTTGTCCATTGCAGAGTACTTTTATTGATATGAATTTCAGTCTCATTGGGAATGGGCGGAACTTGGAAAGGGGTGAGGTAAGTAGCGGAATCGTTATACGAACGACTAATTAATATTTAGCACTGCACGTCATCGTTCTACTCTATCAATGTCAGATAACTGTTGACGTCATAGTAGCTTTAAAACTGGTAATTATTACGTTTCAAAATAGTAAATTTAATTGGATATAAGCATATTCTACATGCAGGTAGCGTTATAAACGCAGTATCATATATAATACTTTATGCAGCATTATTTAGAGTGTAAGCGCTGCGTAGAATACAACATCGTTGCGTTAATAGCATCGTAAACGCACTACAACGCAGTTTATCGTATCATAAATACGTCTTTGTCACATTGCGTTAATACCACAACAATACAAAGAAAACACTTCACTCAGTTTATTTTTTATATTGACATGGAATGCTTTCATTTTCTTTTTTACATATTTCTAAACATTAGAAAGCTAGTGTGATAAAAACAAAATAACAAACACTGTCGCGTAATCGTATTGATAAAATTATGTAACAAAACCAACAATTATCAATGATAAAAATACACACTGTCAACGAAAGTGAAAAAAAACACTGCTAATGACACAGAGACATTGTCCATAATATAGATACACTGTAAAATTATGTTTGAAAATCCCTAGTGTAAATGACTTAAACAGATATTGCCAATTGGATACATAGACACTACAAATGATTTACGGAGACGCTATCAATAATATATAGAGACACTGCCAATAATGTATAGAGACACTGCCAACAATGTATAGAGACACTGTCAATGACATATAGAAGTATTATCAGTCATTTATAGAGACACCACCAATAACATATAGCGACACCACCAATGATATATAGAGACACCACCAATAACATATAGAGACACCACCAATAACATATAGAGACACCACTAATGATATATAGAGACACCACCAATAACATATAGGGACACCACCAATAACATATAGAGACACCACCAATGATATATAGAGACACCACCAATAACATATAGAGACACCACCAATGATATATAGAGACACCACCAATGATATACAGACACACAACCAATAACATAGAGAGACACCACCAATGATATACAGAGACACCACCAATAACATAGAGAGACACCACCAATGATATACAGAGACACCACCAATAACATATAGAGACACCACCAATAACATAGAGAGACACCACCAATGATATATAGAGACACCACCAATGATATACAGAGACACCACCAATGATATACAGAGACACCACCAATAACATAGAGAGACACCACCAATGATATATAGAGACACCACCAATGATATATAGAGACACCACCAGCCTCCGATAATGTTACATTCTAGAGTTGATAAATCACCATACTCACTAAGAAAACATTATAGTTATATAACAACAGCACTGCCAATGATATATAGACACTATCAAAGATAAAAAGAGACAACATCAATGACATCATAATACACAATCAATGATATAAAGAGACACTGTCAATTATCTATAGACACTATCAATGATATAAAGAGACACTGTCAATTATATATAGACAC